TGTTATAACTTAACATGAATTACACAGAACATTACATCAGGCAAATACTGACTTTGAAACAAGTGAAATCTTCATAAGTCTGAGCTATAAAGCAGGATTTATTACTGAAGATAAACAAAGTCGGCTACATTTATGAAACTCTTAATACATTTCCAGACGTTCCCACAATGTCTGGGAAACGTGTTCAGCAGGAATTGACATTATTAAAGAACATTATGAACAGTTTGATCATGATGGCAGCAGAAATAAAAAATTCAAGTCTATTTTGTTCAAACTTTGTTCTGATTTCCAGCAAAGGGAATCATGAACATTTCCAAATAAAAGCAAATGTCACAAAATATTCAGGCATCTGGAAGAAAACTGGATATAAAGAAGAACTTCAGTTTCAGGAATGACTCAAAACGGACATCAAAGTCAATAAAGTAATATTTTCACCAGAATAAAATAAAAAATAATAAAAAAAAGAGCAGGTCTGACAGATTATGAGTATATCTGACAGATTTAAGGAGTTTTCACAAAGAAAGGTTGGCATGTTTTAGTATTTAAAACATTCAATTTAATAAAAACAAGATGTGGTTTATCAGCATATCGGTTTAAACCAATGCAAACACATTTTACTCTTTATTCTGCCTCCTAAAAGATCTGAGTTGCAACGGGAAGGTTAAAGGTCACATTGTTCTTATTTTGTTAACATCTAAAACTCTGCATTTTAACAAAGCTTTTTTGAAATCTTACAAGCTTCTGAAGACAATTGAACATTCAGACCTGTAACAGAGATGTTGAGAGCCCGGCTCTTTTCCCCTTCATGGTTTTCACACCAGTATTCTCCACTGTGGCTCTCAAAAGCGTACTGGATGCTGCAGGATGCAGCTGGGACGCTGCAGGCGTCAGAATCATTTGCTGAACTCGTTTTGTGAAGTTTTCTCCTCACTCTCCAAGCTTTCACTTCTTTGTCTTCCTCACAGCTTACAGAGACAGACTCATACAAAAAGAACAGAAGTCTGTCTGGAGAGATGAGAGGAAAAACTGCAATGATAAAAATACAGAAATTAATTGATGAACTTTAATATAAATCCATGAAAAACAAGAAGATGAAAACTTGTTTTTCATCATTTTGTAATAAAGTTGGTAAAATTGCTGTTGGATTTGTTTGTAAGCAGTTTAAAATAATTAGAATTAAATCTAAAAAAATTTAAAAAAATCATTGTTTACTAAATAAATGCATAAAACAAATCAGTTTCCAACTCACCGGGTTTCTGATCAGTGTAACTCAGATCAGGTTTTGTCAGCAGCAACACAAACACGTTCATGACTGTAGAAACATGAGAAAAGCTTCAGATCCAAACTCATAATATAAATATATGACAGAAATAAATAAATAATATATCTTTACTCACAGATTTGCATGCAGAGAGCTGTGACCTCCATGACTGATGCATGATGCTGACTGAACGAGTCTCACATGTAAACCCAGATCATATGCAGCGCAGAACTTCCTCTTCCTGTTTGGTTGTTACACAGAGCAGCAAAGAAACAGGGAGAAATACTGAGATAATGATGTAGAATTAACTTTATTTTAATGCAAACACACAGATACTCAGGTTCTGTTATGGATCTGTAACAGATTCTGATATTTGTGTTAGAATAATGTGAATAGATTTAAATATTATCTACTCTTCAAGTTTCACTTTCCCCTCTTTTCATCTTATTTTTTTGTTCTTTTTTAGACATGCTGTTCATAACAGGAGTTGTTTATTGTTTGTATTTTCTGGGACTGAATCTTGTTTATATGCTTGTGATCATATTAACTGTTGTGATCATAATGACTGCAGGTTTTAGCAGCTCCACACTGCCCCCTACTGTCTGTACACCTGAAATTATAAAACTAGTTTATAAAGCTTTTATTGAACGTTACGTCATCGCCAGTTTCAGGTCAAGACAAACGTTGGAGCTGATAAGAAATGTTTGTGCTTTGTGTTTAAGATACCATGATTTTAAAAAAGAACTTAAAATCATTACTGAAACTGTTGGAAATGCAGTAATAGGGCTAATAAATAGTACATTGAAGAACATTGACATTATGGATGAAAGACTGAGAGAAAAGTGAAAAATGTTTTATCTTATCAGGTTTGCTCTTCATTTATAGCAGGACTTTGACTAGACTACGTAGCACATCCAAACTGACTTCATCCTGAACGCGGCTGGTATGTTCTCCCAATGTCCGGTTTTATTTTATACATTAATTCAATATTAATTAAATTAATATTACTTAGATGCAAAATGATGTACAGTAATTAGTTACAGTTGGTTAATCTTTCCCTTTTTGTTAGATTGTAATCATGATACTGTACGATCTGTATCCCCTGTACGATATATTACCACAGAATGGTTTTAATTAGCTTGGCTTTTGTTTTATTATTTTAGATAAAAACTTTTCTGAGGTCTAGTTTTTGTCACTTCTGCAGTAAATTAATACACATTTGATTAAAACTGTTTCTGCTTCTGGTTTTTGGTTTAAAATGGTCATTATTAAGATTTTTACCAGTTATTTTATTCTCAGTTTCCTATAAAAACTGTGATTTTAATTTCATACTTTCCCTTGATTTGACTTCTCTCCAGGAAACATGGCAGCTGAAATGGAGAAGACTGGCTTCATTTCAACTTTTCTTTTCTGGCCTTGGAAAAAAGCTACTGCAGTTCATAATGATCTGCTTCTTGTTGTCTCCCAGTGGAAAAGCAGGAGTAAGTTACCACAACTTAACAGTTATAAGATTGATGTGGATATGGGCTAGACGGTAATGAAGACGCTTTAAGGAGTCTGATCATATGAAGAATCTGTTATTGGTGACGTTCATGTGTATTTTCTAGTAGCTAACCATTAAAAATCAGTGTCTTGTTGTTAATTCAGCTTTGTTTTCTCCTTTCTAACTGTAACAGTTGAAAGTTTCTGGTTGTTCATTAAAATGACTCCTGGTCGAGTCGTCCATCGATGTAAAACTAAAGGTGAGTTATGACCCTTTCAGACTGACTAAATATGCATATCTGTCTGTTTTCCATCCATTTCAATGACCTTTAAGATTGTTGCTTTATAAGTTAAATATTAGAACAGTGTCTTGTTTCATGCTTTTCCCTTAATCCTGTTTTATTTTCTCTTCTGTAGCTACAGCAGTTGTAAGTTTCTGGGTTGCCGTGGTGATGAGTCCGGTTCGTGCCGTTCTTCAATGGAAAAACAAATGTAAGTTATGGTGATAAAGTCTGTCTGTATGTAGACAGAGGAAATGGAAACAGCCTGTCAGAGGCTCCTGTTACTGCCTGATAGCACTTTGCATTTTCAGACCTTTTCCATGGTTAGATTTGGTCTCTTTAATTTCTTTCTGTAGTTCGTCCAGGAATTGCAAACTGCTGATTTGTTTTTTTCTGATATTAATGGTTTTATTCCTTTTCACCTCCAGTTTTGATGAAATTAACTCCCCTGAATGAGGTGAAACAGGAACTGGAGAACCAGAAACATCAACTCATAGAAGAACTAAAGCGAGTTGAGACTGAAAGGAAGAAAAACAAAAAGCATCTTCAGTCTGTGGAGGAAGAAATATCAGACAGAGAAGGTTCTGATGGCGAGAGGCTGTTGATGAACAAAGAAGATCTGTTAAAGTCCCAGTGGAAACTAGATGAACAGAAGAAAACATGTGAAAGACAAATATTAAACATAGAAAAGATCCTGGAACCCATAGAGATTTATGAACAGAAATAGGGAAACTTAAAATAATTTGGTTTCTCAGAATTTTAGCAATTTTCAAATCTGTATTTTACAGAAGAGGGTTAGGACTTTACTCTCAAAACTGTTTTTTTTTTTTTTTAAATGTCAGATATTCACTTAAAGTTGTCATATTTTTTAAGTGACCCTAATCTGGATCCAACTTACGATGTAAAAAGGACCACATTGTGTTTGATAATGGATACATGTTTATAATCATTAATCAATTTTAAGTTAAGTGAACATGAATATGTTCATTTTTCAGTTGGAACATCTATGTAAACTAAGCTGATTATTTTTTCTCTGCAAATCCAGAAAGTTTTACCACATTCTCTCTGCCAATTCAGATGTTTAACTGTTAGTTTTAAAAAGCTTTTTTCCCCTAATTTACTAATAGTATTTAGTAGAAACAGTGGTAGGTGTGAACATGCTGGAAAATAAAATAAAAATGATCACAGCTGAATTTGTGGTTGTCTTTTTGTTTTTGTCTGTTATAATTTGTAAATGTCATAACTTTCAGTTTTATTTTTCAATAAATCTTCTGGTACTCAGATTGTTGAAACTTCATTCCCAGATCAGCTGACCTTACATGATCAAAACTATAAAAATGGTGACAGCAGTAAGTGATGCACCTAGTTAATCCATATTAATCCATATTAATCCATATTAATCCATATTTTTCAACTTGCAATCAAATGTTGGAAAAGAGGAATCAGAATCAAAACAGCTAAACAATCACATCTAAAAATATCTTTAAAAATTTAAATGTAATCCATATGAAAAGTACAAATTTTATAGCAAGTCAAACTCCAATATCTGTAACAAAAACCCTGCTCTCCATGCATTCCTATGTCTGAACTAGGTTATGTATATCATTACATAATTGAATGTAATAGCTACACAATTCATGCATACACCCAGTTTATGACACATAATGTGAGTAAAGTGCAGATCCCAGCACTTTGACCTGCTGGGTGAGTTTATCGGCTTAAAGCAGCTCATTCAATGACAACACAGGTCTTCACAGAGAGGTGAGTGTTGTAGCCTTTCACAAATTAAATTTATTGTAGTTTGTTTCTGTATTTTTAAGTAACATGATATTTTTTGTTGTCAATGTTCAGTCGTTCTTTAACTGTAATGATTATAACCTTTAACTGTTTTAACTTGAACTGTTTTAACTTGAACTGTTTTCCTGATATAAATTGTTCCAAACCTCAGACTGATTTCTGCTTTAACTTTGCTGCAGGTTTCAGGTTCAGTGATCATCATGGGTATTAAAATTGTATCTGTTCTTGCATCTGTTGTGGCTTTTTCCTCATGGAGCTGTAAGTGATATAATCTAACACCGTTACGTCTGTCTCTACCTGCTGGTTCTTTTTTAAAAGCTCTCGTGTTTTTGTCCTTTTCACTATTAGATTATTTTCCAGTGGATAAACCAACAGATCAGGTTCATTTTCCATTGCAAATCCAGCCAATAAAAAAGGTGGAAAAGCAAGGAAGGAAATTGAAAGAGCAGCAGATTGAAGTTGTAAAGCAGAAAGACTTCAAAGCAGAGCCTGTTATAGTAAGTTATCAGTTGATTGACAGTGATTTTACATTTCAGTTTCATTTTGACTACATTTTCAGCATTATACATCACAGAATGTGGCATGCTGATAATGCAGGGAGTAACAAACACTTAACCCTTTTGAAAACTAAATAATTTCTTCTTTCAGGACGTTTCTATGCCACATCGCTCAGAAAAACTCTGTTTCACATCTACAGTCTCCACGTTGAGTGGATCCTTCCCTCTCGGCACAGTGCTCACCATTCTTCTCATCCACATGTGTGGAGGTAATCTGGGCTTCTTTTTAAACCAGCTGTTTTCTTGAACTGCTCACTAATGAAATGCTGTTCTGTTGTAACTTCAGCTGATTTGGTGGCAGCTGTGTCTGCAGGGATTCTGCACCTGTTCTCCATCAGCGTCTTCATCGACTTGGTGTTTGGGGTGATCACTCTTTACCACATCAACAAGATGAAGCGTAAGTCTCTGTTTTTAGTCATTTTTTTGTTTATAGCCAAAGTGACAACAAACTCATCAGTTGGTGGAGCAAAACATAAAGACCTGTGATGTAAATGATCCATTATTAGTTTCTCATTAATCATTTTTTCACTTGGTTCTACCATTTGTCTTCTTAGTCAGCAATTTCATAAATACTGGTCCAGAAAATAGTTTGCAATAGGACTGAGGCAGAGTTAAAGAATACATCTGAACAGCTGGAGAGAACTGGTTTGAAAGTTGTTGTTTTTTTAGAGAACTAATTCAATTGGATGACTGTCTTTGTATTAAGCTCAGTTCAATTCAGAGTTCTTTTCGTTTATCCCAAAGGGAAATTAAATGTTGCAACTACTTTAAACCATTTTTAAACAAGCAAACTTCAGAAAACTGAATAAAGATTTTTTTTATTGCTTTTATTTTGACAACAGGTGAGAGAGAGGAATTGGTGAAGTCGAACTCTGAGCTTCAGAGGAAGCTCCAGGTGACGGAGCAGGACTGCAGAGATGAAGCTGCTACGCTGCAGGAAGTGAAGAACAAACTGAAGACATGGATGCATCACATCAGAGTCACAGCAGAGGACATGGAGGCTGAGACAGAAGAAACCAAACTGAAGCTTCAGGCTCAGGAGAAGGAAGTGGCCATTTTTAACCAATCTGACAATATTATGATGGTAGGGAATGAAATGCAGGTGGAAACTGGACAAACCTAAGAAAAGATGATAAAAACATTAAAAATGAGTTTTTTATCTACAGAGGGAGGGCAGTTGGTTCAGACAGTCAACACAGAAAATATTCATATTTATATTGTAAAGAGTTACAACATGAAAAGCCATAAAGGTTAAAAAATGAGTTTTAAGTTCAGATGGAAAATGTAAATAATGCTAATTTATGAACCTGGTTACTGACTGATGGTCTACATATATTTAGTATTTATTTTTTTCTTTGTCATGACTGAATGTTTAACTTTTTTTTAACAAGTATTACTGGAGTAAAGCAATAATACCTGTCAGATTTATACATCAGTATAGTCTGATTGGATGGTCTTTCATTGTCTTCACCTGCATCGATTATAAATTTGTCAAAAGTTTAACAATGAAACTTGATTTCTGTTTCCAACAAGAAATCTATACAATCTATATATCCAAGTAGTTGTTTAATGTTTGACTTTTTATTTTTCACATTATAGTGGTGAAGCTCTTCAAAACTCGTTTTCTGATCATTGAGGGGACATAATTTTCCTGCTCATTTATTTTAAGGTCCCATAGAAGCATCAGAAAAAAGCTGCAACAATTTACTGCTTCTGTTCAATAAATAGATAAATAGATATTAGCAGACATGATGTTCTGTATTGTAGTCAAACATTTCAATTTAGTATCACCAATAACAACATGAGCAGTCACTAAATGTGGCGTCACCTTGTTATTTTATCTTATTTATAGATATATATATATATTATTTATTGAATCATTGTTCCACTGATAGACCTTTAGTCGAATATTAATAAAATCAATATTCTATAAAACAAATGTTTATTTGGTGTATTATTTTTCACATTCTCACTGTAAAGGACAAACATAATCCTATGAACTTCAGCTTTTATCTAAATCAGTGTTTTTCAACCACTGTTCCACGGCACAGTTGTGCCATGAGTGATTGTAGGGTGTGCCGTGGAAATTATTCAGTTTCACCTACAGTACCGTATCTTCCAGACTATAAGATGCTACTTTTTCCCTAAACTTTGAACCATGCGGCTTGTAGCCCGGTGCCTTTTTTCTGTGTATTTTTCTTCAACCACCAGGGGGCTCTCTAGCAGGAAGTGAATCATTAGAAGTCAAAATTGTAGATCAAAGAAGAACGCGTTAATTTTCATTTAGAACAACCACATGCTAGCAGCAGGCACGTCGTAGAAATGATTTCAAACTCATATGATGCAGCTTTTAAGTTGAGGGCTGTCGAGCTGCCACTACAGGAGGGAAATAAAGCCGCTGCACTTAAGGTCGGTGTGAACGAAACCATGGTTCGGCTTTGGAGAAGGAGGACTGTGTCCTTAATATATCCAGCAGGTTTATTGGGCTCCATACCTTATGGAAAACCAAGAGCAGCTTCCAGTTTTTTTTTATTTTATTTATTTATTTATTTTTTTTAAAATTGAAGGTGCTAGTATGGTGCGCTCTATAGTCCGAAAAATACAGTAATTGGTTTTAAAAGATTTTTTGAAAATGAATTATCTGCAAATGATGCCATCTTCGAGTGTTTGCTGTAGCAGTGACTAGCGGCGTAATCATGTAATTTTCTTACCACTATTTAGCAGTAGGTACAGAGCATTTTACATTAAAACAAGAGAATTAGTAATGCATGAATGTTACAGATAGCAGTGAGAGCATCGTATCTAGCAAGACTGTGACGACAGTGATGGAAAAGAGAGTGAAGCTCAGCAGTAGTTGAAAGAACATGGGTCTATTTCCCACAACATGTCTGTGTGAAGTGAGCTTCTCAAGCCTGGCTACTATAACAACTAAAACCAGAGAGAGACTGAGAGCTGTTGAGGAAGAGCTTTGTCTTCAATTTCTGCCAGGAAATCAGCTGTTTTCATCCAAACATGCACAGGTTTCACACTAGATGGGTAAAATATACAGATATTGACATTTTGTACATGCAAATCTTCATATTGTAACAGTGAATATGAAGTGAAATCTTTAAGAAATATTATTGCCTCTTTCAGAATAAGAATTATTTTCTGTATTCTGGTAAAATAATGCTTGTGGATTAGTTTGTAAAACACTTTCCAGTTCCAGTTAAATTTATATTGTCACAAGCAGTTAGACCACATCATGATTCAAACAACATTTATTCATCAAAATCATTTTATTTAAACAAATAAAAGATAACTTTTTTACAATATCATGTTCACAACACAAATAGAAAGATTTGATACATGATTAATAAACTGAAGCTGGACAATAATCATGTAGGTTTGTTTTAAGTTACAGACTGAAGCTGCTATTCACATGCTTGACCACCAGATGTCACTAAAGAGAAGCTTTGAGTGATGAATCAGTTTCCATCAAAGCTTCAGTCACAGGAAACGTCAGGTGGTTTTCACCTGAGAGAGCAGGTGTGTGTGTGTGTGTGCGTGCGTGCGTGCGTGCGTGTGTGTGCACGCGCGTTTGTTTGTAATACCTTGTGGGGACGATTTTCCTGACATATACTATGTTGTGGGGACCAATTGCTCCTTGTGGGGACCGGAGCCTGGTCCCCAGAAGGGGAAACCCTTGTGGGGAGTTTTGGTTGGATAGGGTTAGGTATGTGATGGTTAGGGTTAGGAAAAGGCTAAATGTAAGGTTTAGGCTGTAGAAATGAATGGAAGTCAATGGAAAGTCCCCACAAAGATAGCAACACAAACATGTGTGTGTGTGCGCGCGCGTGTGTGGCCTTTCCCTCCTTTAATTTAGACACTTAGAGAAGTGGCTTCTTAATAAATTGATTCCACAATGTCAGTCTGGGTTTCATAGTAAATTAGGATTTCACATTAAAAATATTTTCACAGTAATTGAGTCTTAAATCTTTTCTTTCTGTAAACATTCAGCCCTCTGCCAAGGTAACAAAATGAAAGGTGAGCTTAATCGAGTCTCTACTTCACACCATGTAACACGTTTTGACCTTTCCAGAAATAGTTTAAAATGAATCCAAATAGTTTAAACTGACAGCTTTCTCATATACATGAAGTATCAGACTGATGTCAGCATTTATCTGGAAATGACAGAGAAGTGAATGAGAAACTCTGACAGAAAAATGAGAGGTCCTAAAGATGAGCCCTGAGGTTCACCTTTCCTGATTGGTTTGGCTTTATATGATCTGAGAACAGATTGATTTTCATAATGCAAAAAGAAAATCCATTATAGCAGTGGTCCGCTTAATGTTTAAACAGACATTTTTAAAAAAAATAAAATATTGTTATATATTTGAATTTATATATAACATATATAAATGTTATTTATTCTGCAACAATTCTGTTAAAATTGAGCTTTTGGCAATATTTTCTTAATCAGTTGTAATATCTGGGTCTGATCTCATGACAGTGGGGTCATGTTTTAAAACCACTATAATAAAACAATAATAGCTGGTGAACGATTCTTTGCAGGTCAATATAAGAGTAAAGAATCCCACTTCCCAAAATCCTGCTTCACATTCGTAGAAACAAAAGAGTTTCACTTCAGCTTAGTGGAACCACTTCTCTGTGATACCACAGAAGAAGAAAAATACACCAGTAGCTGCTAAATCCTTAAGAGTCATGTACTCGCTGTAATTAAACTTTTCTTTAAATTGACATTATGAAAATCAAAACTCTAAACTTTACCACTTCTTATAAAACCTGATGACATGATAAACTGCTTTTCTTTATTTTTTAAATGACATTCCACTGCATGAGGTTGTATTTTGAAACATTTAGAAATGACAGTCTTCATTATTGCCAGTCATTATTTTCTTCATTATTTTTGAAGCTTTGGAGACAAGCTGAGTAACTTTGTGAATTTACTAATTGCAGGTATTTTGTTTAAGTATTATTTAAAAAAGACACAGATTATTTAGCGATGAAAGAATAGACCGGCTCCTGTCCCGATGAATATTGTTTGACAGGAGCTGCACAAACCTCCCGGCCTGAAAAGAAAAACATGTAAATTAATGAGTGAAGTTTTGGTTTGTAAATATTTGTGACTTAAGACTGTGGTTGTGTTAGTTGGTTACATTTAATCAGAAAATATGCAGAATGAAGTCATGTCACATCGAGCTGCAGAAATTATTTTACTATTTTATTTTTCTGGTATGTTTCCTTTCAGTGGTTGTTGTCTAAATGAGGAGCCTGAGGAGTCGATTGTTTCAACCTCTGCTCTTATTTTATCTTAACTAACAAGTTAAAATTACTTTCCTCTGTGCCTTCGATCATATGAATATGAGCTGCTGAGCTAAATCAAACGCAGTGCTAGACTGACGTCATGGCGGTTCACCACAGATGATTAAAAACGCCGTTATAATAGAAGGTACCTGTCGGTCTGATAGCAGCAGAAGCGTACGTGACTTGGTGGTCGGTTCTGGTTTCTCCACCTGAGAATTTAAAGACACAGGAACTGAAACCGTCTGACAGAGATGTGAACAACTGCAAACGGAAAAAAAATGAAAATACTGACCGTTTCTCCTCCTTGGTTTGTTGACAACAGCATAAGTGACACTGTTCAGATCTGTAGCAGCCTCATGTTTCAGGGCTGCAGTGGATTATAGAAACAAAAAAACTGCAATTAAATTTTTTTCATCTGACCAAAAGTGATAATTTCTGCCAATTTCTGCAGGCCAGTAATAAATACTGAGGTGATTTAGCAGTACCTTTGTGTTTCTTGAAGAAAATCAGTCCAGCTAGCAAGAGCAAGGATCCGAAGATGCACAACAAAATGGTGACAGGGGTCAGATACCGCACAGGCTGAGCTTCCTCATCATCAAATTCTGGAAAGTAGAAGATAGTAATCAGGCCATCAGGCAAATGCAAAATTACTAAATGTTCTGTTTGTTTTGTCAAAAAAATATTTTTGCTCTTAGAATTTGGTAGCTCAAATTATAGAGGATATACATATAATGACATAAGTGAAAGAGTCAAGGTGGAGCTTTGGATTAAAAGGCAGAGGCCCAATATGGCCGCCATGCACCAGAGACTCAAGAAATCTTCAGACATGGACAAATGAGTCAATGCAACCCACAGGAATGTTTTTAATGAGTGAATAACATGATGAAATGCTAAAAAATGTTTATTTTGCATAACAGTCCCTCTTTACTGTAAGAACCTTGATGCAAAATCTAATTTGACTTTAAAGCAGATTAACATTTGCTTAATTATATAAGTATTAGTAATTAACAATGTTTTATATTTGTACAATATTTTACATTAATACAAGTAATAATTAGCATTTTTTGTGAAATTATAAAACTTGTTGAAGTTGTACCTATTTCAGGTTGACACAAATAAACTTAATAAATTAATAATAATAAAAAAAACTATAGTAATGTAAAAGGTAGAGGTCTGGAAAAATGTGGCTAATGAATTATTCATTATTTATTTACCTAATTAAATAGTGTAGCTCACTACATTGTGAATAAGGCAAAAACCTCTGAAACTGTTGTATTTTTTTCAGTATTTAGCTTTATTTGAAATATAAACACCTTAATTTACTTAAATTTAATTGTAGTAATCAAATTAATTATTTGTAGTAAATCAAGCGTTTTAGAGAAAAATATAATTTGCATATTAAAAACTTAAGCATCCTTATTCCAGGAGGGATGTTTCTTCAAGTTGTCCTGTATAAAAAGTTTGCATATTTGATTATGTGTTTGTTATGTTCTCTGGTACATTAAGACGTTTTAGTAGATTTTATCTGATGTGTTTGAAATAGAGCAGAAAGCAAAAAGCTGCACAGAACAAAAATAAACCAGTCAAAAACCAGTAACATCTATTTACCATTTCCTGGTTTGACGACAGCCAGCCAGCTTTCTGCAGAGTCTCCAACTCCAGAAATGCTGCATTTGTAGAATCCTTCATGAGACGTGGAGACATTATGAAGCGTCAGGACGTTGCTCTTATCATAGGTGGTTTTAATGCTCTCGCCATCTTTGATGAAGTCACATGTTTGTGGTTTCTCATCATTCTTGTTAATACAATGAAGAATCACATCAGATCCTTCCTTCACGGGTCGAGCCGTAAATTTGAGGATTACAGGACCATCTGAGGAATGTGAAGAGGACAGCAAAATGTTTTGTCATCTATTTGAAAAAATCCCAATGTATTTATTAGGATATGTTTAAAATTTCACTTTAAACTTTTTAAGAAGACCTGTAATAGAGATGTTGAGAGCCTGGCTTCGTTGGCCCTCATCGTTTTCACACCAGTATTCTCCAGTGTGTTTTTCAAAGGTAGGATCGATTGTGCAGGATGGAGCTGGGATGCTGCAGACGTCCGACTCATTTGCTGGACTCAACGTTTGAAGGTTTTTCATGATGTGTTTGTCCCTGGGGCAGGAGACAGACACAGATCGGTACTCAAAGAACTGAAGTTGATCAGGAGAGACAACAGGAAAATCTGTGATGGAAGAGGAAGAAGTAAATAAACGATTTATAACAGATGGCAACGCAAATCTTTAAAAACAGAGCCAATCTATTTTATCAGCAGCTTATGAGACAATTAAGATGACTTTAGTTTATCATTGACAACAGATTTAAACTGGATTAATACCAAATTGAAAAACTTCAAACTATTTCTGAAGAACATCATATTTAATACTGTTTGCAAAATAAGCACATTTTTAAAATAGTTTCAAACTCACCAGGTTTCTGAGCAGAGAAGCTCTGAGCAGATGTGGTGGACAGCAGAGCGAACTCACTGATCACTGCAGAGACGTAATAAACTGATGAATCCAAACCAGCATGAAAACGAGAGTTAATAAAACACTTACAGATTTGGATGCAGAGAGCTGTGACCTCCATGATGCTCGATGCTGACTGACAAGAGTCTCACAGTCACACCGAGGTCACATGCAGCTCATGACTTCCTCTTCCTGTCTGGATGATCACTGATGCTGACAGAGGAGGAAGTAGAAATGTTCAGCAGTGACTGAAATATTACTGACTCACCTTCTGCTTTATGATGATCCAGACACATAAAGTTGGAGTTTTGCCTTTTCCTGTGATGAAACCTGAAATCCATGTTGTTAACTGAGTGAACAGAGAGGAGCTCTCTGAAAACAGCTCCACGCTGCCCCCTGCAGTATTTTTCTTAAGAAGCATTGTTCACACATGTTCACTAATCAGTGGTAAACATCTGGATGTCCAAAACTAATAGAGCTCAAAATGTTGCTCCAGTATGAAATCAGAAAGACTGAATGTAATTAGACGCCATTTTAAAGTGAGGTTTTTTTTTTTTTTTTTTTCAAAATTGGCGTGTTTCAATTAGGCAAGTTTATTTCTGTAATTTCAACTTGTGCAGTTTTATAATGAATGGAGATGCAGCCAATGACCCATAAGAACTACCAGATGGATGCAGAGATCGGCTTTTATTGTACACACAGGACATCAAACAGGGACAGGAAGGCAGAGGACATTTAGTGCCTGACCAGGACAGATGACCTGCTGTAGCCACTACTTTACAATCTCCCAAAGCCAATAGTTGTAGTTTTAGAGAACAGATTAAATAAGGTTTAACTGCTGCCATAAAGTTCATCCCAGTCAGGCTCAGATAAGCTCCTGCCGAACTTTGAAGTCAACAACAAAGAACTTTGTTCAAAGAACTTTGTTCTTTGTTGTACCTGCAATACCAAAAAAACATGATACATAAAAACCAATTCATTCATTCATAGCAGAACTTTGACCCTGCAGTGTTTTCTGCAGTCTGAGGTGAAGCAAGCAAGAACACATCTTCCCCTCCCGGTGAGTTAATCTAATGTAAAATGTTCTTTTCAAACATTATTCAGATGCTTATTTAGTCTGCAAAGTAATTTACTTTGATTTTATGAGAAACTTCATATATTTAAATGAAAACATTTTCATTTGCTAGATTATGAGAATAATGTGTTGTATTTATATGAATGTAAAGTGGTTTCTTTCTGCAAGTGCTAAAGATATATTTTTAAGTTTTATGCAGTGTAGAGTAAAGAAAGAGTAGGATGTTCCAGAAGCACTTTAATACAAACCAATCTCATTATAAGTTAACCTTGACTTTGACTCATGATTTGGGTTCATCAGGAAATAATAGATTGTTTGAGCAGGTTTTGGTGATGTGGTTTGTGGTTGTGAAGTTTATTTTTTGTTTTTTTAGGTAATAACATGACAGTCCGAATGTATCTCAGTTTGGCTTCATCACGTTTCCTGGATTCCAGCTGGTCTATTTCTATCAAATCAAAACCATGTGCTGTGATCTGCGTTTCTGCTGTGGCTGTTTCTGCTGCTCTCTACTGGAAATACAGACGTAAGTTAATATTTATTTATTAGTAATAGCATAACAATTACTGTTAATAACAAAGAACTTATGCATTCATGTGATTTGATAAGATTTATGATGAGTCAGTTTTAAAAAGTACTTCAATACAATTTCTTGTGAAAGAGTAGGATGTTATTTAAGTCAGTTGAAATGAAATGGAAACTTGAAGTCAAGAACACAGAAAAAGAAGGTTTGGAAATAGATGAATGATTTGATGTAAAGTTTTAAAAGGTCAACAAGGAATCTTGGATTTCAGGATATCAAACTCCAAACCTCGAGAGCCAGTGCCAATAATCAGACGTGACTCTTTCAAAACACCTGAAGAAAATAATCATGTCATTAGCAGTAGATGTCTTTAGTGTTTATTTGTTGTGGAAGCAATTCAACAATTTGATTCAAGAGTTGGATCAGGGACAGATTTAACTCTTAGAGGACCCTGAAGGTTTTAGTTTCCATCTCTGCCTTAAACCGGGAAAACGTGGAAACAGTGAAACAGAACATTTCCCTTTTAACTGGGACAAACCTCCAGATACCACAATGACCGAAGTGAAGATGGGGCTGAAAGAAAAATGTTTGAAAAAGAGAGAAACAAAGTCAACAATCCAAAAATATCAAAGGATATCTTAATTAATCATAGGGGACAAAATAATACTGTTCTGTAACATTTCCAATTTGGATGAGAGAAAGACAGTTATTGTAAGAATACAACTGAACATGGAGATGTTGGTGAAGTAGATTCAAGTAAGATCCAGAAATAAGGATGTTCAGAACAGACTTTGATTAATTCATCCAGGCAAACTATGTAATTTGGTACAAATGCAGTGGATGCATTTTGAATTTATACCAAATAATGTCCAATCAGGCTTATTGGACTGGGCTATTTTTGTGACATAGTGTAGTTGAGCTATAAAAACCAACCTGGACAGTCAGCTGCAAAAAGCTTCATTGGATTATTCTACTGTTTGTTATAAAACTGATCTGTTTTTAATTACAGGTGAAAATTCTGTGCTGCAAATGAAAACAGGAAAATGACAAACTAGTAATAAGCAATTACCTACAGCAATGAATGAAATGGAGAGGAAAAAAGTGAAGTTAAAGGACAAGTTGCAGATTAAAGGACTTAAAGTCAGAAAGTCACTGAAGTCAAAAATAAAAACAATGAAAAAACATTTATGTGAAAGATTTTCTTGACACAAAAGATGCTGTACTGCTGCATTTCCAGGTGAATTTAGAGGCAGAAAAGAATATTACTGATAATCAGCATCTGAACATGGAGTTGGTGAAGATTAAAGAAAATCAAATATTACAGAACCAAATCCCCCAACACCTTTTATCTGATTAAACTGTAACGTTTTGTTGTGCAAAATCCAGTTTAATGCTGAAGCAGAGGAAATGCAAATGGCTGCTGGATGTGTGCATGATTTAATCAGTTTGTTTATGTGGTATTAAATATGTATTAATCTTTTTGCCAACAGGTGAGAATGCTGAGCTAAAGAAGGAAAATGATCAACTACAAACCACAGTGAATAACGTGAAAGCAGAACTTAAGAACCAGAAGCATCAACTTATAGAAAAACTTAAAGAAATTGAGACTGAAAGGGTGAAAAATAAACAGGAGCTTCAGTCAGAGGAAACGAAGATAACAGGTGGAGAAAATACTGATGACAAAGAGTCGTTATTAAGAAGGAAGGAGGATCTCCTGAAGTCTCAGTGGAAACTGGATGAGGACAAGAAACATCATGAAAGGCAAATATTAAACATAGAGAAAGTGATGGAACCAATCGAGATGATGCCATCAACATAGATAAAGAGGAGGATGTTTAAAACAACATCTAGAAGATCAACATCTGGTTGTTTTACAATATGAACTGTATTGGAATTTAGATTTGTTTTAACAAACTTGAATACTTGAATAAATCCAATTCAGACAAAGAGAAAAACAGCAAAGACCGTCTCTGTTTTCTCTATCAACCACCCTGCCAGCATGCCTAGGTGGGCCCCATATGGGGAAAAGGTGGGCAGACATGGCTGTGGCCTTCATCTTCATCACACAGAACAGATGCTGAGCAGCTCTGAACCACAGATCAGCACATTCCCACAGCTTGGAGGCAGATTACCGGTGGCCATGTAGGGTCACAGCCTAGATGGACACCCCAGGGGGCCCCCAATGTGTCCCCCCCCCTTTCCCCCATGTGGGGCAAACCTAAGCATGCTGGCAGGGGAGCTTCCTTCCATCCATCCATCCATCCATCCATCCATCCATCTGTCCATCCATCCATCCATCCATCCATCCATCTGTCCATCCATCCATCCATCTGTCCATCCATCCATCCATCCATCCATCCATCCAGGAGAACTTTGAAGTTCATTATGGAGGATCCAAAAGCCAGAATTCATCTGAAGTCCCTTCAGTATTTTCTCAGTTTTCCTAAAAGTTTCCTGCCTGTTTAATTCTCCCTGAAACCTCCAAAAGGATTTTACTGACTTTACTGAGTCCAGTAGGCTCTTGTTCTGACCACAGCCCGTCTTAAACCCTTCCAATGATCCCCACTTTAGACAAATCCGTCCACTTTGGTGAAATGTATTTTTATTTATCTGTGCGTTATGCTTTTACATTTTTAAATGTTCTAGTAGAGTTAATATGCAGCAAACACATGGAGGAGTTTATCTCCCCACTCTGGGTAAGGAAGTAGATAAATGTTCCCTGATTTCAAAACTTTGGCTGAAGTGGCTCTTCTATATTACAGTTAATGTCTTCTGAAGTTGTATTCAAATAAATTTGCCTTTTTTTCCAAAGTATTTTACTAAAGTAGATGAAGAAAATGGGCATCAGAAAACATCAAAAAGGTGTTTGCTAAAAATACTAAAAACTGAGTAACAGTTTTACGTTATTATAAATAATATAATTAGAAAGACACAAATATAAGGTGTGTAATTTCTTGTATTTTAAAATAAAATATGTAAGCAGTTTATTCTGTGGCGCTGTAAGGTGTGGTGTCATAAGGTGTGGTGGGTCAGAGTTTAATCTTTCCTCTGAAATGGTTAAATATTAACTACATAATGTAACTTTCCTGTTAAATTATGAGCCTCTGCAAAATGTTGGAACCAAATCCTGATTTTTATCCCAAACATAAAACTTGAAAACGTTACATTAATACATTTTTAATACCATTATGCTCACATTGCTGTTAAAGTTTCAGCATACATGTTAAATGTACATAAAGTTCACTCTTTTAGTTTCAGGTTGATTCTGCGTTATGATTAAATATTAACCAGGTCTAACTTTCCTCAAGATAATAAAACAACATCCAGTCTGGGAGTCCTGGTGTGAATCTGCACGATACTTTCCGGAGGGTTTGGTTTCACATCATTATGAGGGTTAGAATGATTTCTATTTGACCTAAAATTAATTTAAAACATTTTGAATTAGTTTGTAAACAAAGTGAGAAAATCTTCAATAAAACGTCTTCAATCTGAGGACTTTGACCGAATAACGCGAGGAGAAAAGAGGAAACTAGAACGCCACTAAAAAGGTATTTCATTCTTTTTATTCTCTTATTTCTTACTATTGTTTCCCAAAGCTTCTTATTTACTAACATACAGTGTTAATAGTTCAATGTGAAGCTTGTTTTTACGGTAATAGAAATTGTAATTTTCTGTAGCTGGTAATAAAATCATGTCAGCTGCAGGACGACATTTTGTTTTAACGTGTTCATGTAGATGTTTTCTGTACGACTATCAGTCTCTACTTTCATCAAAGTTTGACCCAAACTTATTCACTTTCCATCCGTCATGTCGGTTTCTGGCTTGTATTTTTAGCAGAAAAGCTATTAGATCCAAACAGATTTTAAACCAGGATCAGGTCTTTACAATAAACACCTTAAATCTACATAATGCTGGCGTTTATTGTAACCAAACATCTTACCTGCTAAAAAACATTGTTTTATTTAACCTAACAAACATTTTGCTTTTTCCTTTCTTAAGGACAAAAGAGGTTTTCTTTTAGCAGCCAAATCCCTGCTTGTTAAATATTCTTGATGTGATGTGGAAAACAGAACTTATTTTTATTTTTCTGTACATTTGAAAACCTGGAGTCTTTCCTTCCTGGTTTCCATGCATCTCTTTTCTAAAGCAGTGGTTTCACCTGCTGCTAGTAATTTCCTTAAATACAGCGGGATGCAGGAGGCATCTGGTCAGGATGCCTCCTGGACGTCTCCCTGGTGAGGTGTTCCGGGGACGTCTCATCGGGAGGAGGCCCCGGGGAAGACCCAGGACACGCTGGAGGGACGATGTCTCTCAGCTGGCCTGGGAACGCCTTGGGATTCCTGGAGGAGCTGGAAGAAGTGGCTGGGGAGGGAAGACTGGGCCTCCCTTCTGAAGCTGCTGCCCCTGTGACCCGACCCTGGATGAGCGGCAGAAGATGGATGGATGGATGGATGGATGGATGGATGGATGGATGGATGGATGGACAGCGGGTTGCAGTTATTTTTATTTTCTTAGTCATTGTTTTTAGCATTGCTGTATGAAGGAATGATGAATGAAAGTTGTCAAAGAAACTGTGACAGTACACTTAACTCATGTAATCAGTTTTGAAATTCTGTCAAACTGATGTTTAGTCTAAAAACAATAAATCAATAAATAGGTTGTCATTGTTTGTTAGTAAACATTTCCAAGCTTTAAATTTATATCTGTGTGTTTCAGTTTTTGTCTCTCCAAGATGTTTCACAACCCAGATGGATTCATTTCTGGATTCTTTATCAGCTTAATTCTTCTGATTCACCTCAATGAAGGTAAATAGAGGAATCAGGATTCTGGTTTCAGACATGGAGTTGGGGAGCAATTTAGTTTTACAAAGAAAGACTTCAGACTTTATTTAGACTGGTCTAACATAAAAAATCTTATTAATTTTATTAAGCAGGAGTAACAGCCTGCTTAATCAAGCAAGGTATTACGAAGCAGGTTAACTTACACTAAACGGTATGTAGGTTACCGTTTAACGTACATACCAGTGATGGGTGGTAATTGATGGGTTTCCACAGTGAAAAAAACATTCTAATTTTATCTTAATCCCAATCCAGCTGGTATTTATATTTTGCTGGAAATGTAGCAGATTTTTCCTGTAGGAACTTGTATTTTTTCCTCAGGCTTTTAGGCTGAGATTTGAAGACAAAATTAGGTTTAAAATGTCCACAGTTAGATGGATTAAGCTGAAAATGAATTTGTTTTTGAGAATTTGTTGCTAGTTACCTATAACAGAGAAAAACTATATCCTGAAATGTGAAATGTTTTGTTTCTCAGGTCAGCAGGAGGCCGATTCGTCTCAGACCATCAGAGCGATGCCTGGCGATGACGTCGTCCTGCCCTGTCATGTGGATCCTCCTCAGGATCTTTCTCAGTTTACAGTGGAGTGGGGCAGACCAGACCTCAAACCCAGATTTGTGCATGTTTGGCACAACCAGAAGGAATATTTAGCTGACCAAAACAAAGTCTTTAAAGGACGAACGTCTCTGTTCAATGACAAACTGAAGGACGGAAACTTTTCTCTGAAACTGTCTGATGTGAGACATTCTGACAACGGAAGATACAGATGTTACAACCCGAAGGAGAAAACAGAATATTTTATCCAGCTTCTCGTTGGTGAGGAAACCAAACAATAAACATGTATTTAATTTAAACCAGGACTGATTAACAGTCTTATAAGTCTTATTAAAACCAAACAGGTTCCACATTGAGATATATTGTTAACTTAGTGTTGGGCTTAAAATGGTTTGGATCAGAATGAAGATAAAACAAGAAGAGTCTCAATAACTAAAATAAGGTAAATATTAAACATGGAAGGTGTTACACTTTATCTACAAAGATTTACATCACAGTTACAGGAGCAACATGGTGCAGATTATTTTAATCAGGATTTTGTTCAAGTCACTTTCTGTCATCATGAAGTGTGTTGGAGCAGAACGGACATAGAAGAAACATAAAGAAGAAAATAATTATACTGGAAGTTTATTAATGATGAAAAGAAGAAGATGATGCTATTAATTTAAATTAGTGGGACAAAACAAACAGTAAAACCATTTAACAATCAATCAATATTAAACTCTGAACTGAGGTATTTAACTCCTTTGATGTTTCCAGTTGGTGATCAATAAATTATTCATATAAAAAATGACTCCTAAACCTTTCAGGATCTATTTTTACTGAATAGTTTACCTGTCATCATCAGGCTCCGCCTCCTCACCTGGTGCCAGTTTATCTGGACTGGATGTCAGCAGCAGTGGAGTGATGCTGGACTGCAGCGCTGCAGGCTGGTATCCAGAACCTGAGATGTTCTGGCTGGACGGAGACGGAAACATCATGTCTGCTGGAGCTGCAGAGAAAAGCACAGATCCTGATGGTGTTTACACTGTTAGCAGCAGAGTGACTGTAGAGAAGAGAAACAACAACAACTTTACCTGCAGAGTCCAGCAGAGAGACATCAACCAGAGCAGAGAGACACACATTCATGTTCCAGGTGGGAGAATAAAACACTTTAAACACTTTAGTTATTTCACTAACGGTTCTGTTTGGTCGTGTTTCAGATGATTTCTTCATCAATGAGAGCAGCTGCTCCGTTTCTATCAGCTTCAATGTCATTTTAGTCGTCATGGTTGTTCTTGGAGTCGCTTTTATTATTTGGATGAAGAAACAAAACAAAGAGGGTGAGTGTGTTTTAATAGAAACCCAATAAACTTTTACAATCTTAAAGAAAAACAATTTTCATTCTCTGTGTAAGAACTATACTGATGAATAACCTTAATCTGAATTCACTTCTTGTTTCTACAGAAAAGAAGAAGTTAAAGAAAATCAGTGAAGAGCAAATGAAGCTCATTCCAGCAGCAAGACTGGAGGAGGAGCTAGAAAAAAGAAACAAGGATCAGAAAATCATTGATCAGCAGATTAAATCACTAACAGAGATGTTAGAGGAACTGAAGGAGCAGAAAAAACAACTTACTGATCAAACGATGGAGGCAGATAAAATGATTGAGGAGGATGAGAAGAAGTTTAAGGCTGTTGATGATGAAGTAACAAACCAGACGGGGAACAAGATAGAAAAAAAAGCACAAGGATATTTAAAACTGAAGGAAATTATAGCAGAGAGCAAAGAGAAACTGACTAAAAGAAAACAAGATCATCAAAAGGTTGGATATACGACAGATAAACTGATAAAAAGAACAAATGATGAAATTAACAAGCTGGAGGAAAGAAAACAGGAGATAGAAAAACATGTAAAGAAAATACAAAAACAACTTGATGAAAAATAGTCAAAGGAATAAATCTGATGTCACTCATGAGCCAGAAATAAATGAAGTTTTCATTATTCAGCAACATTTTGATTAAAGAAAAGTTTCAAACTCAGCAGATTTATTGCAAACACTGAGATATTTTAATAACTGAAGCACTAAAGAAAGTTTAGATGTGGATTTAGTCTGACAGGTGAAAAAACTGCTGCAAACTCAGATGATAAACCTACTGAAAGCATACCTAAAGTATGACAGTTTTACATATGTATAAAATCTGTTT